AATGTCCCACTCCTTGACAGTTTGCATACCTCCTGGTTTAGACTTCCCCAGACTCCTGCAGACTTCAGGGCTCAGATGAAAAACACACCTCCTCTGCTCTGTGAGTGCCACCATCAAGGCATCCAGAACTCCCCTGCTTTTAATTAGCCGCTTCACCAGGGAACATTACGCTCTTACTGGGAAATTCAACGCAATTCTTCTGATATCATTGTACCTTTTATCTATGACCCACGCTCAGCATTAGCTAAGCCGTGTAATTAATATGTCTAAGCGTTTGTATTATAATTCTCATAGGTTTTCTATAGCTCTGAGTCTGACACCTCAAATAATAGTACTGTCTTTAACATTACTGAGAATTATATTCATTTGGAATAATATCATGAGCCATATGCATCAATAGAAGGAATATTACTTGTGAAAGCCAAAATCCCCAAATTCCCAATCATTAACTTATCAAGTTTAAGCTTTAAAGCTCTCAGGTTGGAAGAGGTGTGAAGAGAGAGATGTGTGGAGTATTGAATCATGGAGTGACATTACTGAGTTGCTTCAAAAGGGAATATTTCAGTAACTAGTTATAAAAGTTTCTATATGGATGAATATATGAACACATTTTACTATGTGGATGCTGGCTTGATTGTGATCCAGGATATTATTGGTTCAACATCAAGTTTCCTTCTCTGGAATTATAATGCTTTATCACAAGATGAAGAAAATGTTTGGTTAAGAAATGATTTTCTGTCCATGGAAAGGTAGACACACCGTTATTTGTCTGAGTGGGAGTCTTCTGTCATGTAAAAAGCATATAGACATGGTGCTTTGAGCCACTCAGCTGCTGCGCTTCTTCTGTATGAATGTTCTTACAGACCAAGCTGAGCAAACAAGGATATAGAATCTTTGCTTTTGTCTTTATAAAGTATGAATTAGCCTTTAATCAGAATACTCTAGAATTGACTGTTCTCTTAAAACAATGTCTATACAAATATTAAAATGCCTGTATATTGCCCATTGGAAGGAGGAAAAACGATATTAAAGGGAGTTAGCAAGAAGGTCCAGGGTTCAAATCCCGGTCGGAACAGGGCCTTTCTGAGTGGAGTTTACATGTTCTCCTCGTGTCTGCGTAGGTTTCCTCTGGATGCTCCGGTCTCCCCTACCACTAAAAACATGTACAATAGGTCTGGCATGCGCCTCCTGTACTGGCGACCCCGCTCTTATCTCTGTGTGGAGTGAGAGTTGTAAAGCGCTCAGTTGTAAAGCGCTTTGTGACTGGTCTGTGACTGGTGCTGTATAGATAAAGATTACTTTCTTACTTACTTAACGCTGCCAAAAGTTCAATAAATAGTGGGAGGTTGGGGGCATGAAAGATATTATGTAATCAAATAGGATTCATAACAATGTCACAATTAAACTGAGCCAAACCAAGAGCTAAATGGGCACAAACTGTTCCTCTGTCTCGGGAAGAAACACTTGTGGAGCAGATGCCACCAAAGCTCTCATTACAGCACTGTGGACACAAGTATGCAATCGATGCTCAGTTTGTATCGACTGAACTCATATTTACCGCTCGCGTTTGGTCTGGATTTGGGACCCCCGGCGAAGCTTTGAAGTGAGATAAAAGTGTCCGCGAGCAGAGCAGGTCAGTGCAGACGGCCCTGCGTTACAGATGGGTTCGTGTGCCACCTCCTGATCTTAAGTTCTGTCGGCCAAATGTTTTAGAGAGAGAAAACTTCAGTCGGCCAAGTTCACGTGGCGCGGCAGGCAGACAGAGCGCGGGATGGAAAGCAAAACCAGGTTTATTGTGCATTGTAATCGTTGTGATATATCCATTGAGAGACTAAGCACTATTTATGCATGGATTTATGAACGTTTTAATAATGATTTTGATGATAGTTTATTTCATCATTCATAATGACATTTTTGACTATGTTAGCTATGATTATTGTGACACATTTCATACCATTCAATTTATTACATTAACGTAAACTTTATTATAGTGTGCTTAATTCTCCCTGAAGAGAAAATTGTTCTGCATTTGACACAACCTCTATCATGGTAAAGGCACATTTACAACCTCCGACCACCACCAACCATTCACACACACACACCAGACTCATTCTAGGCAATGGGGGTGAAGTGTCTAGCCAAGGATACAACGACAGTAGTCAGTGGGCGTCGATGGTGAAAGTCTTGAGACCTTCTGGCTCAAAGGCCAACGCTCTACCAACTGAGCTACTGCCGGCCTTAAAAACACAGATCACTTTTGCAATTCAAACATTTTGAGACCGATATTAGAATTTGTTTCAGTTTCAATAATAAAATGCACTTTTTGTCCATTCATAATTCACAAATGGTGCCAGTAAAATAACCAATGAAAACAGTCTAGCTTTGATTTCTGTAACTTCCATCAGTGAGTGTTGATTGAGACGGGTGTTTGCTCTGGTTTGAGTAATCAAGCTTTGGACGTGAAAGAGACTGGATCTTTTGCAGTAGAGTCACTGGTGGTTTTGGATCCTGGCTGTGATTCTGCGTCTGATGAGCTGCGCACACACCAGCTGCCAATGTTTTGTAGTTAAATAATTTCACAATCACCCTGTATAATGTGGCATCTGAGATAATCAACTTTTCCTTTTTTTGTCATTTTTGTGTACAAACTTTTTATTACAATTTAGTTTTCTTGCCAAGAAATGCACACTGATTCACTATCAGATGTTGTCCAAGGAAGCTGTTTCTTTTGACTAAAGTGTTTCACAAGGCACCATTAATCATAGCTGTCTCCAAAGCCAAGGTGGCTGCTATTGCCAAGTGTGGGTCGCTGAGAAGATGTGAAAGACAGTCGAGTACATAACACAGCATAACACAGGAGAAAGACAGGAGAGGATCAAAGTAAAACTGTGGCCGTGTGGACAGGTGGGATTTCTTGCAATATCTGCCTCATGTGAAATCTTTGAAATGATGTTGATCTCTCCATGGAATAGACACCAGGAGATACAACAGCATGCGAAGCTAAGCAGTTTGTGGTATCCATACCAGCCCAGACTTAATGCGCGGCGTGTGCATGTTTGTCCCTGTCTGGGTGGGTTTCCACAGGCAACACAAAACCATGGGTCAGTTCTTCTCAAACTTTTTCCATGCACACACTCTACCCTCCATTTAAACCCCAACTCCAGCCCTACTATCATATCATAACGGCAGCCTCTTAGATGGAAGAATTCATATTTTCTGATTGATTACTTCTGCTATGCTTATGCCCTGTCAGGTCTTTGGTTTCAACATGAATGAAGAAAATAGATCAGTGTTAATTAATTCTTGATTAAAAAGCTATACTGTAATTTCTTAACAACATGAAGGCAGTTCTTGTTTGTTTGGCACTCATCTTTACCTCGACTTTCCTTGAAGTAGCCTCACAATCCCAGTTCTGGAACTGGGAGCCTCAAGTGATGGTCCACATCTGCTGTGTCACTGGGAGATCTCTGCTCCACATTTACTGACTTCAGACAAACGGCCACTTATAAACACCCCAAATGAAACGGAATATGTTTATCTCATCTAATTTATCCATTTGGTGTTGGCCGCCTGTGCTCTGTGGAAACTTGGTGTAACTGATGGGAACGTTGATTTACTCGTCTTTCCACATAAATTTAGCAGAGTGTAAATCAATGTCCAGTCCCAGGCTTGGCTCTCACCACTTTGCTAATTCACAGGGTGCAGTGCTCTCCTCTGCACTTTTCCTTTTTACTTTGTATGCAATACTGAATAGTGGAGAGATGAATTCTTCAACTTTAAACAGGCTTTAAGGTGAGCCATTTGCTAGTCCCAATATGGATATTATGGCATTGTCTAAAATTCAAGAAGATTCAAGATTAATTTATTTATGATGTCCCGTAGGAAATTTGTCTTGGACTCACAGACTGCTGCAATAAAATACACATGAGACAGACATGAAATGCAACACAGTGAGCCATCACCAGAATACGGCATTTAACTTATTTCTCTATTTAAGAAAGAATGTGATGTCGTCACTCAGTTACACGCAACTAAAGACTGGATAAGAAAAGGGGATGGTTATAAAACAGGATGTTTTAAATTCACATTTCAATAGACATAAAACATTTCTATAACTTCATAAATAAATGGTGTGTTCCCAACCACCTATCCACCACTTAATAGGTACCCTTTAATAATGTAAGTATTCTATTGATAACATTTCAGTAAAAGTAGAACACACTAACTTTAACCAGAGCAGTGTTTTATCATCACATCAGACTCTTTAAGCTCATTCATCCTCTGGACTTAGGTTGGATTGGAACAACAGTGCTAACACACAGAATGTTTAAAACTGTGTGTGAACAGCATGAATTTAAATCCGTGGCCTTTATAGCAATGCGGCCAATTCTATGCATTTTTTAATTTGTTAGAAATGTTTGTAGGAAAAAATACTTTATTTTGAAATGAGCGTTGGTGTGGGTAGTTGTACAGGTGTGTTTAATAGTCTGGAAGTCAAAATGAAAAACTCCACTGCCTTGTGGTCTCATGAACAGCTGTACACTATAAAAAACACCGCAAATCTTCACTACAAACACAATTCTTACTGATAACTCATATTTCCACTGTGGACTCTCATGTCCCGTTTCTGAACTAGCGTAGCTCTCCCTGAGACAGAGTTTTGTATCTGTTTGTGTGACAGCGCACTCCCCACATAGTGCCTCCCTTTTGGCTTCTCTAGCTAATGTGTTGTCTTTCTCTCTGTGTATCTGTGTGTGTGTCTTTATGACTGGATTGTGTGACGCACGCTTCAACGTCTTTCCAAACGTGTTCCCTGTCCACATTCTGCCTGCCAATTATTTCCTTTCTGTTGCTTCTTATGTGCTACCATTTCCTTCCCACCATATGCGTGTTTTTTTCCTTTTCCATGTTCTAAATGTCCTTGTTCATGTGTCTTCACTCGTGTCATGTTTTTGTCCGGTCTTCCCGTGGTCTTGTCTCCATCGTGTCCCCTCCTCTAGCCTTTGTGACTTTGCTGAACGGGGACCAGGCTCAGGATGCCATCCGCTCCCTCCACCACAGCACTGTCCGCGGACGCTTGATCAACGTCACCCTGCAGCCCACCGACTCGCTGCTGTGCGTCACCAACCTGCCGCACACCTTCAGCGCGCAGCAGTTCGAGGAGTTGGTGCGCGCCTACGGAAATATCGAGCGCTCCTTCCTGGTGTACAGTGAGCTGACGGGACACTCCAAGGGCTATGGCTTTGTGGAGTACATGAAGAAGGACTCTGCCTCCCGCGCACGCTCAGAGCTACTGGGGCGACCGCTGGTATGTCTTATAAATACTATCTTTCATAAGAACGTAACTGTTGTAAGCCTGGGTTCTGCTGTGACAGAATTTCCCTGATGTATGGCCCTCCATTAAGTCCAGGGGTTTTTTGCTTCCAAGGGCCCAAAGTGAAAATATGCCAGTGGGCCGCGGGCCAAATAAGATAAGATAAACTTTATTGATCACACAATTGAGAAATGTACATGTCACATTTGGAATAGATAGAATCACTCAGATTGGGCATAAAGTCAGAAGTCTGCATATAAATGTAAATTGTTTGATGAATTAAATGCATTAATTATTGTCTATCAGTGCAAATCACAGCTGAATGAAAACAAAGCAACACCGCCTTAGTTAGAAGAACAACAAACAACAGGTGCAGCTAACAAAAGTGCTAATGTCAATAACAAAACTAGATTCAAAACTGCAGTCTGCTACAACTAGTGGGGTACATGGAGCTGGTCTCTCAACTTTGAAAACACTGCATTGTGTTTTACTTTGTGGTGGCGATGAATAATGTACTCCTTTTGTACAGCCACAAGTTGATTAGAGATGAGACAGACTGCCTTGGAATGAATGTCTGTGAAATTATATTGTTCTTCCCACGCGGATTTAAAATACCTCTTGTCTGTATGCCACTGTCGATGATGCTCCATTTTGTTCAAGCTAATGCTGAAAACTTGACGCTGCAAGTGCAAAGCCTCATGGAGGATCCTCTCAAATGGAAAAAACATATAAAATTGATGAAAAATTCACAGTAGGCCCATACATCTCTAAAGTATGGGACATCGAAACTTGAGAATTGTTTAACGCAATTTCTGAGTGAATGAGCCAACAGACTTAGTCATGTGACAACGTACTGACCTCAAACAATAACACATTTGGAGTACAATTATTGAAATGCAGATACATTGAACTTAAACTTCCAGGGTAATTCATAAGCAATATTTCTGCAGTAGTGTTTCTGATTGTCAGTCTCATGCAGGACATTGATCCATTTATGTTTTTGTTAAAAGTAAATCATTTCTGTGGTGCAGTGAGTTCATAAACACTGAAGGCAAGGATAGTCGTTGAGAGAATCAGATTACACGCCAATTTTAAGCTAACAGAATTGTGGGATCAAATGTTTGTCTCAACAAAAAAAGTAATCCGATCACTTCTGTGACAATACAAGGAGATTATTTAAGTGCATGTGGAAAAAGCTAATATGTATCATAGTTCCTACACAGCGGCACGTTTTTTAGTATTGTTGCATGAAGCGAAACCAAAAAGTTGATTAGGAAAATGTTGTATGTAATTGTGCAGAGGAAAGTAAATGACTTGTACGCAGTTGAGCATGTCTGAAAGTAAACAGTTCGTTGATTGACTTTTCCAATTGTTTGATTATACTGGATACAAGATGCTCAGCCATCTTTATTAGTATTGGTTTCAAAGTTTTGGTGCTAAGACAGCGTTACAATACACCATTGGAAGTGTCAAATCCTCTGTGATCCATCAAATGTAAAAGGTTTGAGTTTTCATCTACAGTATATTCTCTGCACAAAAACAGACTTAGAACACATTTGTTTTTGATAGCCTATTAAGACTCTTTTATTAGCATTTTTTATTCTTACCGAGCAAAGGAAGGTTTCTCACCCATCATCTGTACTTCTTAGCAAGTTTTCCCGACGTTTCGTCCTCAACCTAGCGGACTTCTTCAGGGAATGAATTCTCGGACCGCGCGTTGGAGATTTATAACCTATGGGTGTGGTAAGCCACACCCTAATCCTGATACTAACTCGTAAACAATCTCAGGTCTGCTTGATGTAGAAGGGAGCAGGTCTAACGACCCTGCTGAGGCTAACGACCCTAACTCCTTAGCATGTCACAGACCTATTGTCTGCTGGGATGCTCAAGTGGAGTGCAGGTCTCACCCCTCCTAACTCATTAGCATGTCACTGACCTTGTCCCAAGTTAGGGCGTTGTTTTTAGGATGTCGTCACAGATGCGAGGCAAAACAAATCTTAACCCTCCTCCTCTGTTAAGAGAAGGTTTTTGTTTCCTCACAAAAATGGCTTCTTTCACCCCTCTCTCAAACCAATTCTTCTCCCGAGCCAGAATTTTAACCTCTGTGTCATCCACCGTGTGGTTGGAGGCCTTGAGGTGGAGATGAACAGCCGACTGTGGCCCACTCGAGTTTTCTCTACGATGTTGGTAAAGTCGTTTCTGTAGAGTTTGTTTGGTTTCTCCAATATAGTGGTCAGTGCACTCCTCTTCACTACATTTAATTGAATACACCACATTGCTCTGTTTGTGTCTGGGTGTTTTGTCTTTGGGATGCACTAATTTCTGTCTTAACGTGTTGAAAGGTTTGAAATACACAGGGATTTTGTGTTGCCTAAAGATTCTTTGTAGTTTCTCTGAAACTCCCGCCACATACGGTAAGGACACCCCTCTCCTCCTACTTTCTTCTGTCTGTAGGACTGTGTCTCTGGCCTTTCTCGTCCTTTGGGCTTTAGTAAAAGACCACTTGGGGTAGCCACATCTGGAAAGTGCTCTCTGAACATGTTTGGTTTCTCTGTTCTTTCCTTCCGAGCTTGTGGGGACCTGGTGGGCTCGGTGTTGAAGCGTTCTAATGACCCCGAGTTTGTGTTGTAGCGGATGGTTTGAATCAAAGGCCAAGTACTGGTCAGTGTGAGTGGACTTTCTGAAGACCTCAGTCTCTAATTGTCCGTTCTCCAGTATGATGACCTTACAATCTAGAAAGACGAGTTCACTCTCCTTAGCATCCTCGCGAGTGAATCTGTCTAAAGAAGGTGCCTCTAAATTGGAAATACGTGGTGTTAAGACACATTTCAAGTATTTCACAGATGTGGTGTCTCCTTAGTATACACCCCAGTATTTATGGACTCCCAAAAATACACAAACAAAACTTTTCACTTCGGCCTATTGTATGTAGCATAGACTCTATCACCTACAACCTGGCTAAACACCTCAAAACCATTCTGGCTCCGTTGGTGGGTAACACCCACCATCACATAGAAAACACAAAAGAATTTGTAAATAAAATCAAACACCTCCAGTTTGACACAGATGAGACAATGGTCTCGTTTGATGTGACATCGCTTTTTACGTCGGTCCCTATTACAGAGGCGGTGGAGGCTGTAAGAGAAAGCCTACAGAAAGACGCCACACTAGGGGAGAGAACGAAACTAACAGCTGACCACATCTGTGAAATACTTGAAATGTGTCTTAACACCACGTATTTCCAATTTAGAGGCACCTTCTTTAGACAGATTCATGGCTGTGCGATGGGCTCCCCAGTCTCTCCTATAGTGGCCAATCTGTATATGGAGAAACTGGAGGAACAAGCCCTGGGCTCTTACCAAGGGACAGCGCCAAGCCATTGGTTTCGATATGTAGACGATACATGGGTTAAGTTAAAGAAACAGGAAGTGGAACCATTTTCAGCACACATTAACTCGGTGGACCCTTTTATAAATTTCACTCGCGAGGATGCTAAGGAGAGTGAACTCGCCTTTCTAGATTGTAAGGTCATCATACTGGAGAACGGACAATTAGAGACTGAGGTCTTCAGAAAGTCCACTCACACTGACCAGTACTTGGCCTTTGATTCAAACCATCCGCTACAACACAAACTCGGGGTCATTAGAACGCTTCAACACCGAGCCCACCAGGTCCCCACAAGCTTGGAAGGAAAGAACAGAGAAACCAAACATGTTCAGAGAGCACTTTCCAGATGTGGCTACCCCAAGTGGTCTTTTACTAAAGCCCAAAGGACGAGAAAGGCCAGAGACACAGTCCTACAGACAGAAGAAAGTAGGAGGAGAGGGGTGTCCTTACCGTATGTGGCGGGAGTTTCAGAGAAACTACAAAGAATCTTTAGGCAACACAAAATCCCTGTGTATTTCAAACCTTTCAACACGTTAAGACAGAAATTAGTGCATCCCAAAGACAAAACACCCAGACACAAACAGAGCAATGTGGTGTATTCAATTAAATGTAGTGAAGAGGAGTGCACTGACCACTATATTGGAGAAACCAAACAAACTCTACAGAAACGACTTTACCAACATCGTAGAGAAAACTCTAGTGGGCTACAGTCGGCTGTTCATCTCCACCTCAAGGCCTCCAACCACACGGTGGATGACACAGAGGTTAAAATTCTGGCTCGGGAGAAGAATTGGTTTGAGAGAGGGGTGAAAGAAGCCATTTTTGTGAGGAAACAAAAACCTTCTCTTAACAGAGGAGGAGGGTTAAGATTTGTTTTGCCTCGCATCTATGACGACATCCTAAAAACAACGCCCTAACTTGGGACAAGGTCAGTGACGTGCTAATGAGTTAGGAGGGGTGAGACCTGCACTCCACTTGAGCATCCCAGCAGACAATAGGTCTGTGACATGCTAAGGAGTTAGGGTCGTTAGCCTCAGCAGGGTCGTTAGACCTGCTCCCTTCTACATCAAGCAGACCGTAGATTGTTTACGAGTCAGTATCAGGATTAGGGTGTGGCTTACCACACCCATAGGTTATAAATCTCCAACGCGCGGTCCGAGAATTCATTCCCTGAAGAAGTCCGCTAGGTTGAGGACGAAACGTCGGAAAAACTTGCTAAGAAGTACAGATGATGGGTGAGAAACCTTCCTTTGCTTTGACTAATCCCTGTACGACTGAGGGCTTACACAAACTTTTTATTCTTACGTTTTGATGCCTTGATGTTACATGTACTTCTTTTGGTGTATTTATAAAGTGATGCACTAATCTATTGTTTCTTTTTAATATGGAGCACATTGAGGTTTCCTTGAAAGGTGCAATACAAATACAATTCTAAGTATTGCTCAGGAGCTGCATCATGGATCTATAATAATAACTGGATAGGGTATTACTAGCTTACAGCTGTCCCATGGGCACAGGGGGCGCCCGTGGTACTGCAGACTAAATTCACGTGGGCTACCCAGAAAAAGTCCCATAGAACTCAATGTAAATTAAAACAGCACGACTTCATCTGACAGAGAACCTACAGCTTTCATAAAGGTCGGATTTTGTGGGGATTTTTGTGTCCCTTGTCATCCTGAACTTTTTTTCTTCTTAAATCCTTCTGTTTTCTTTAAATCCACACTTTACTGCCACAAACTCTGTTCCTTTCCTTCCCGCGGCCAAGCCCCTCTGTGCGCGTGCATGAAAGCCACACACGCACGTTTGGCGCGACGCATTAGCTAATCCACTGCGCAGAACCGGGAGGACCAGACGATGCCCAAATATAGGCGAGTTCTGCTAATCTCCCGGTCTCCGTGAAGTCACATGCGCTACTGAGCACAAGCCATTCATTTGAATAGGGCGCCATCTTGGATCACGGGGCTTGAGCTGCATACACACATGGGGTCACACCGCCATTGTTTGGGTTCATCAGAAACGCTCTAGGAACATCCTCTGTTAAGTAAACATGCATCATTCCAGCTCACAGGTCTCTGTATGTTTACATTGTAGTTATAAAATCACATTTACTGGTCCCGAAGCATCAAAACACCAACACACCTTCATTATGACCTTACCAAAGCATACAGCAGCTTACTTTAACATTTTGGCAGAATTACGAATAAGAAATAATTTATAGACTACTATGACTATGTTTTAAATAAACATGTACGTCTGGTTGCTTGTGTATGTCTAAAGTGTATGTGTCTAAAAGTGTCTGTTGTGCAGGGCGACCGCTCCCTGATGGTGCAGTGGATGGATGTGAACCAGCTGAGTCAGGAGGAGAACCTTCACTCCAAGTGTGTGTGCGTGGACCGACTGCCTCTGGACCTCTGCGACTCCGAAGAGCTCACGCAGCTCTTCTCCGAGACCTACAAGCCTGTCTTCTGTCAGGTACGTCAAGCTAACACAGTTTAATCATGCGTATGGAAGCAGTCTGATCAATGTCAAACTCCCTTCATCGTTTTAATTGACAAGCTCCATTGCCGTAACGTTCCCGGCAAAGGTTACTTTATCTATCACAATTTGTATACAAAGCAAATCAATGCAACAAGGAAGGATGAAGGAGTAAGTATTTTTCATTTAGACAATACGGAACACAACAAAAACCTGTAAGGTACATGTACAAGTAATGTATACATAAAGAAGTAGACGGATCAACTTTTCCTAAAGGGAGCAGGAGCAAATAAATGAATACTTATTTAAGTCGTTCCACTTTTCTACTTTTGAGTTTAAGAAATATTATGCAGAGTTCACCTTTCCGAATTAATCCTTTCATAATCATCCAACCAAGACAAACGATAACTGTCAGTGTTACTTTGTTTTTTTAAAATAAACATCACCATTTTTCTGTTTTTTAAATGCATTTATTGAATTGCTAAATATTTGGGCAACCTTTGAGTTCCTTTATCATATTTTTCCATACTTTCACACCACAGACTGAAAACAAAAACATTTTCTGTTGTTTGAGCAAAAGGCACTTTGAAATTTCAGATTCCTCTCAAGTGATAAGTTCTTTCCTTTTCACAAAATAGGATTTGAATATTTCCAGGTAATTGTTTACTCTTTCTTTTATACTCTCAGTTTGGTAGGATATTATGTCATTAGTTTGAATCATTTTGCGTAAATAAACAAAGGGGTAGTGTTCTCTCGGTAATTGCCATCGCTCATAGCTCATTTTTGAAGATAAACTAAAGATATACTTATCACAAGAGCTCCCTTCTTTTTCCAGAATTTCAATATACGGTACATTTTCATTGTAATTATGCAGAACTTTAAACCAGGATTTAAACAGAGTCGAGGCTTGCGTCACATTTTGAATGACTCTGAATGGATTATCTTGGCTGCCATTCTCATTCTTTGATCAAAGCTTTTCAGTTTGCTCCATCCACTCAAAATATGCATAGTAGGAAAAGTCCTCGAGCTGAGGTTGTCCTGAACAAGACTTTCTCAGAATGTGGAGAATGTTGAGATGGTTCTAAGGTTGTGGAGATGGGTCCAAGTTACAGCACCGTGGTACACACCTCTCCAGACAGGTTGTGCAGTATAATTAAACAGTAGTAATAACTGCAACTTGTATCTCCCTTCCCAGTGTATATATGAACAAGAAGATGCAATTTTTAAGATACCAAAAAACTCCTCAAATCAAATGCATAGATATTTGATTTGAGTATATTCTGTTCAAAAATACATTTAAATATGTATTTAATCCTGAATTCCCTTTTTGATAAAACTATATTATATTGTGAACTCACCAGAACCCAACCTGATTTATATTTTTTATTTAATTTGACCCATCCTGCAAAGTGAGCAGTGGTTGCTACAGTGCAATGTCAAGGCCACATCCCCAGGACTATCTTCACCTGTGGATCAGACCTATGATGCATGGAGCGCCCGGAGGAGACACATGCAAACTGAAAGGCCTGCACAGGAACCTAAAACCTTCTTGCTCAAAGCCACTAGTGAGAGAAAAGAAAGTCAGTGAATGGTAGAATGCCTCTGCAGCTACAAGCACTAATGCTCTATTCAAACCTTTTCTGTTTTTAGTTCATTCTAGGCATTGAATTTGTGATTTCAGCACAATTGAAACCATATCTAACATGCATTTAAAATCTTCATAGCAACTGCTAATCCATAATCCAGAAATATGTATTCTACTCTTGTATTCATGTGTGGTACAGTATGTGTTACGTGACGCTTCAGTCATTTCAGTGTACAGGAAAGCCCATGACAGGACTTGACAAGCGTAATAGCTGTTCTGTCAGTTTTGCATTTTATGTCTGGTTTTATGTAACTGCTTATAGCCTATTAAACATGTCAGATTGGCAAGGCTGTTCTTGAGATATTTGTTCCTGACAGATTTCACTTGTGGAACTGTAGGATGGGTCAGAAGCAGAGAAGAAAATCACTAGGACAATAGAAGTATGACCTTAACCTTAAACTGTAGTACGTTATGTACTTGTCTTGTGCACACTGGGGACTGTGTATTCCAATGTGGTTTGACTGCAAATGACAAATAAACTGAATCTGAATTTTGAATGACAAACCTATGACCTAAGTGCTTTTGATTGGGTAGAAATGGGTAGTATATTTTAGTTGGACAGTACATATACAGACACACACACAATTAAATTATTTTTTGAATTTTGTTTTGCTTTCTGAGTATGTTTGTACTTTGAATTGATGTTTTCCAACTTATCACAATGTTTTAAAGCAATATTGATTGATATTGGTTTAATTTAACAGTGCAGAAAGGGGAACGTTTACTGGATCAGATATCGACCTCCAGATATTGAAGACTTTTTAAGTTCTGAATGCCAGATTGGGATTGACTGTTATGATGGATATAAAAGGTTATAACTCAAAAACTAACATTTCTATCATAGATTAGAAAAAAAAATATGTCAAACACAGGCATACCAAAAATATATTTTTGGTGAAATGTTAAAAAACAGATCAGCCCCTGATTGGACAAGGCAACTGTGACTCCAGTTACATAGAAAACAAAAGGTCATCAGTGTCAAAGCAGAACAAGAACTCCCACAGATTAACATGGCGAACACAACATCAGGAAATCACTTCATTTGAAAAGGAATATAAAAAAAATAATCAATAAACATTTAAATTACCCTCAAAAATGTGTTACAGATGTGATGATTTCCATCAATTTGTTTCTGAAAATTAAAGTTGAGGGAAAAAAAGATGATCTTGTATCACATTTAATTGGTTTACTATATGAAAGTAATCACTTTGTTTCTACTCTGTGAAAATAAAAGAATCCATTAATCAAATCATCTGAAAATATGTAACAAACTCATTCCGGCAGCTCATTCCACCAAAGGATCAGGTCCGTGACACAGATAAACAGAGCTGCTACCCACTAAGCAAGCCGACGTTGAATCAACGTAATTTGAACGTTGTTGTCCGACGTAGAATATAGGTCACTGGTGGGTGTAGAATTAAAGTTTTCTCGACGTCGTTTCCCGACGTCACCTCAACCTACAAATGTTACGTTGATGGCACGTCAATTCAAGGTTTGAATGTGGTACGGAACCGGTCGGGTCTGACGTCCTATCAACGTCTCATATGACCAAAATATTGACGTTTATATGACGTTCGTTTTCAGTCGTTCCCACTAAGCAAGCAGATGTCAAAACAACATAATTTCAACGTCATCTGGACGTTCATTCAAGGTTGCAATGTGGTACAGAACCGGTCGGGTCCGACGTCCTCTCGACGTCTTATATGACCAAAATATTGACTTTTATATGACGTCCATTTACAGTCCTATTGACCTACTTAACCTCTGCAGAATCACTCACTGGTCGAGACATACTTTTTGCAATAGGCAAGGCAACTTTATTTGTATAGCACAGTCAAAACAAAAGGAAACTCAAAGCACTGAACAAAAGATAGAAACAATCAAACAAGGCATTACAATTATAAATATTGACAGTAAAATTAAAAGATACAAATAAAATCTCTCATAAAATCTCTCAGTTGAAGCAGAAACAGAAGTGTTTTAAACCTGGATTTTAACATTGTCAAAGAAGAAGCCTGTCTCACATTTCCAGGAAGACCGTTCCAGATTTTAGCCTTGTGAATCTGAAATGCAGCTATATCATGTTTAGTTCTGACTCTGGGCAATAAACGATAAACACAGCATTCAAAAATCATTAGAACAACTGTAGTAGAAGGATATCAGTCATTACTGCAAATGGAGCTGCATTAAAAATCATGTTTCTCTACATCAAAGTACAAGTTAAAGCACACAGGGCACAGTGTTATGAACACTACTGTACTGAACAGTTCATGCCAAAGTAAAAAAACATGATTGTAGCGCCTATGTTTGGATCAGTATTAAAACAGGCACAAGCTACACTCTAGGTTCCCCAGATGTAAAAACAAAATCTGAAAGGCAGAAGAATGCATTTATTGAATGTTGATGTTCCAACATGTGTCCTCTCTTGGTCTTCAGTCTCTCATCACAAGGTCCAAGCACAGCACCTGAAAATGTGGAACATGTTTAGTTTCAACGCAATGTGGCAAAGTGATATAACAACACATAACTTTCTATTAATGCCTCAAACCACTCGATCCATCACCATGTGATACAAACCTTGGCACTAGCTCGAGACACTGGAAGACACTCCGTCTGAGAAACTTGGGATAAGGCTTTGGTCATTGGAGTAATTCCATGTAAAAAACAATTGCAAATGTGCATTTGTTTTGCACATGGACACAAATGAGCCCTGAAAGCTACTTACCCTGTATTACTCTACACATGTTGCATTTCCGAGGGGGCATCTTCCCCTTGTTGCTCTTTTCCCTCATCTTGAGTGAGTTGCTGAACAATCTGAGAAAAAGATAGATGTTTTCAAAGAGAATACACCAAATAATGGTTTATTCTAAAAACAACATATTAATACAGAAGAACAATCAATGTGTGAGAGTGTGATTCTTACCTTTGAACACCTTCAACACAGTCTGACACCTGTAAGACTCAAACACACATGACACATTAGGAATACACACAGAACATTAGTTATTGCAACAATCATGAAATTATACTCTATGGATTTCACAATAATTGACTGCATTAGCAAAGGTAAATGTATTTTAATTAACATATGGCTGGTTTTAAAGTTTATAAGAAAAAGTAAGAAATTGAATAGAGTTGCAAGCGCTAGTTAGCTTGCTACCAGCAGATGAATGGATATTTAATATTTGCAGCGAACAATAACAAAAATAACAACTGTAGTGGCTCATTTAAACAGCCACAGTGAGAAGAAGTGAAAGTCTCTGACATTGAAGATTTAATGGGAAGATATTAAATCCATTTATTAAACAAAGCAATACTTGAACATTAAACTCTCTTTCTGCAGCAGGTAACATCTGTGTGCTCCTATGGTCCCACATGGTCCCACATGGTCCCACACCTGAACTCAACTCCAACTGATGACATCACAGGTGTCTAAATGATGGGAGTGTCCCAAATATTAAAGCTGATCTCCCTGTTTTTAAACTTAGTTTACTAAGTACTGTTGTCTTTTTGCAGTTTATAAACCATTGTGAAATATACAGTAACTTTACATTTTGGAATTGAATTATTATTTTAAAACTCAAGAATCTTAACCTTTTTTAACACATAGTTTGTTGGACAGTCTAACCTAAGAATTTTAATGTGTTAAAAATAGTTTGAAATATGAAAAACAATATCATATTTTAAACTTTAACTTAACTCACTGACTGCCAGGCATTTTCAGATTTGAGAAGTGCGTTCTGCCAGCAATTTCAGGTTATTTGACCCAACTTTGAAGTGCCACAGAATATTCATTTTTTAGACGATGTAAACACCAAGGGCACCAAATTAAAGATTAACCTCTCTGCTTTACTCTGAAAAAAAAAACAGTTTGTTTCTACCTCTTACCGTTCTTGAGCTATTTGCCATAGAACAAAGCATACTTTCACCCACAACACCTGGTCTGAGCAAGAAAACAGAGAAAACGAGCTGTATGTAAACAGGAACATATCAAGCAGAAAAGAGACTTTTAGATGCACTTTTGCTGCTTTAGTGACAACTCAAAACATCTTCACACTTGTTCCATTACAAAAATTATAAAAACATGACTCTGAAATAATACTTTTGATGGCAAATTGTTGGCAATTTATTCACAGATAGAAAATTTTACTTTCTTCTATTCCATCAACCAAAACGTCAAACAACAACAACACAAAGATCAATAAAACTATAGATGTATAAAATAGAATGAAGCATGTGAATGTGTGAATGTCAGTGTGCGAGTGAGTGTCTGTGTGAGTGAGTGTCTGTGTGTGTGAATGTCAGTGTGCGAGTGAGTGTCTGTGTGTGTGTCTGTCTGTGTGTGTGTCTGTGTGCGTGTGAGTGTTCGTGAGTGTGTGTATGAGTGAGTTTATCTGCTTTTTCAGTCCTCCCAGTAGTTCAGCTTTGAGTTGTAGAGGTTGAACCACTGTGTGCAACGGAACACGACACGCTGTGTACCATTTGTAGTTCTCCCTCCGTGAAGAAGAGCTCCAGAAAGTCTGGATCAGATGAATCCAGCTCCAGAAAGTCTGGATCAGGTGAATCCAGCTCCAGAAAGTCTGGATCAGATGAATCCAGCTCCAGAAAGTCTGGATCAGATGAATCCAGCTTCGCAGCCTCTGTCCGCAGTCTCTGAGGTCCAGCAGCTCCTGTGAAGGGCAACTGACTCGTCTCCCACTGATCCTCCTGTCAGCCATCTTCCCCAGAGCTGCTGGGTGACAAACGTGCTGGAAATTTGATACACACAATAACTATATTATACAGTGAATTTGTTACAATAAATCAATACATAAAATACAATGAAGGCCTTCCTCCCACATTATTGACTGACTGCTTTTGGACGAAACAAGTATACTATATTATTATTATTATATTATATTGCCATGGGATGTACAAGAATAGAAATAGTAGTCCTTTTACCTTTTTTGTGCACAGCAACTGCCTCTCGATGCACCACCTGTAAATAATATACATTTGTAAATCACTATACCAGGAGAATATATACAAAAATATGTACAATGGTATGAGGAGGCATTATCTTTACCTCCATGCCCTGTCAACCCCAATGGGGAGGGCTCTTTTATCAGAATCTGTGAATGAACACATTTCATTTAGTCAGAGCTATGACACTACAACAAGATGTTCAAGTATGAAATAACTACACATAAAAAAAATAAATACAACAATGATAAAACACATAACTGGCATTTACTAAAGAAATAGTAGGATTTGAGCGCTGTGTTACTTTGCAGGTCAGAGCAAGTTTCCGCGCCTTTCCCTCCTCTCAAGTCAGCATATTCTAGGCAATTTAGCAAGTTCTTACCTTCGACTCTTTGTGGAGCTTCTGGAGAGGATGCTCTGCTGGATTGAGACTGCAACCACTCATCCGATAAATCATGATCAGGTTTGCTGAACGAATCCGAGGCATCAGTAACAGCAGCAGCTGATACGCTGCGAGAGGCGTGTGTCCCTGCTCCGGGCTCTTGCTCCGCGCAAATGTAGCTGCAGAGACGGACCTCCACCGGGGTCTCCCCTCTCTCCCCTCTCGACCTCACTCACTGATCCGCGAGTCAATCTCTGAAGCAGTCAACTGCTTATAACTATTCTTTTTCGCCATCACTCTTGCTATACTATTGCTAAACTAGATCACTGATCCGTCTCAATGCTACGCTATCATCGCTCGCTCTGCTACAGCACCACGCTTTCTCACACTCCCACACTCCTCCTCCTTCTCTCCACTGACTTATGACTTCTCCTGTGGTGCAATACTGCATCCTACTGGTGTTGATTTATCATTACAGGTACATTTGCACTATATATCAGTATTGTGGGTCATTCACAAGGTGCGCCAGACATTACTGTAGCCTCCCGTGTAATAACATGAAAAACTCGTCAAACTCGTCATGGGCAGTGAGCGTTACTATTCAACATGACGAGTTTTGTCGTGATTGGGCAGTGAATGAGTTAAAAACTAAAAAAAGGTGTCTCCCTTTCAGCTGAGCAGTGCCAGCCGTTATTATTATAGATTCATGCACTGGCAATTCAAAATACAGATAATATACAAAATATACTTAACAATCTCCACGTATACGTGAGAAAACAACTTACTTTCTGTCTCCAACTCTTTTCAATGTGGAAATGATACATCTATATCTAAAAACTGTGCAGACTGTGTACTTAGTAGAGAGGGTGATTCCAAGTAAATAAAGCAGGGCAGCGACAGAGGTACAGATTCAACGTCATATCAACGTCTGGGAAGACATTGCTTTACGTCCAGATTCACACCTTACGTCGTTTAGACGTGGAAAACAGGTCCTCGACCGAGCGACTCACGTGTCAGGCTGTAACCTCGCATAAGTGTGCGTCGGTTGTTTAGGGTGTTATCTATTATTTTTTCCCAGTAGTCAGGAAACATGCCTGGCGGTGGTGTAGCGGTTGCGTAATGAGACTTCAGTCGCAACGACGCGGGTTCAAATCCCCGTCGGAAATTTTTTGACTTTTCACTTTTTAGCGAACAATTTTTCTGTTTGGTTAAAAACGAATAAACACTCAACATAAGATTATGTAGTGGCTAATAATAAAACTTGTGAACCCATGCATTTGCATAAAATCTCAAGTGCTCACCCCTTATTTGCAAACTTGAGATTGTTAGCACAACAAATGCATACATTCACAAGTTTTATTATTAGCCACTACGTAATCCTATGTTGAGTGTTTATTAGTCTTTAACCAAACAGAAAAAAATAGTTCGTTAAAAATCAAAACAAATATGTAAAGATAATAATACACACGTGGGCTTGAACTCACGTAACCAAGGCTGCACACATTTGCTTAACCACTACACTACCGTCAGGTACACTTAGATTGCTTCACAGCCTATATATTGTATTGCTAGATCAAGACGTACTGCGTCGGTCAGCCGATGACCTGTTTTCGACGTCTAGGGGAGGTCGGGATTGAACGTCATATCCACGTATATGGGAGGTCATTGTTTTACGTCCAGATGCGCACCTTGCACAGACGTCGTTTGGAGGTAAATAAAAGGTCACGACCGACCGACGCGATATTGACGTGATCTGAAGGTTGAGTGGACGTCGGATGTTTAGTGGGATCATTGTCATTAACAAACACTTATAACCAGGACTACAGCATATATCAATACATGTTTAATAATGTTGTAAATATATTAATATATATATTATTCATTGTATTTCCAATGGAAAACGGACCCAACACGCGTCGACGGAACAAATAGGATTGTTTCTATTTCGTCCGTCCGCGTCCGTTGCACCCTCCGTTGATGGAATCCGGATGTTGGAGGCAGTGGAGCCACTTCCATTCACCCTCATGGAAATAACGGAGACGGAGATGAAACGGACATGTTTGGACGGATCCGTCGTCCGTATCTCCATGAGGGTGAATGGAAGTGGCTCCACTGCCTCCGCATGCGTCCGTCCAACGCACGTCGGACGTATTCCGTCAACGGAGGGTGCAACGGACGCGGACGGACGAAATAGAAACAATCCTATTTGTTCCGTCGACGAGTGTCGGGTCCGTTTTCCATTGAAAATACAAAGGAATAATATATTGATATATGCTGTAGTCCTTGGTTATAAGTATTTGTTAATGACAATGATTATTAACAAACATGTGTAATTTTTTTCATGTATTAATTTAAATAATTGTTTCCTGATCGTACATCTACCATTTATTTTTCGCATAATGTTAATACGTTAATCTTTACATACATCTCGCTCTGTCCCATGGATCTATTATAATAACTGGATAGGGTATTATACATACATTACATTCCAGTGCTGAAGCAGGGGAACACGCTCACGTGTGTAACCTGTTTTAAACATGGCGGAGAAGCACAAATGCTCACACACGTGCAAACCCATGAAAGGGCATCTGTTTGTCATGGAGGTATGTTTTAACTTCGAATCCAGGTGTTGTGCAATATTGTAAATTTGTTCTTTAAAGTGATTGTCTAGAGTTTGTCAGAAAGAGAGACAGAGAGGTACTTGATTTGAAAAAAAAACCAACCCAAGCTCCCTCCCCCTTCCTTTCTGATTGGTCTACACGCTCTTACCGGAAGTATAGCATGATTTATATAATGTTTGTTTTACATTAGTAGGCCCGAGCGCCACCAGGCTGGCACAGGGACTATTGTAATGAAAGTGTGCATAAAACACTGAACCCCCCTCAAACATAAACATGTCATGGTACATGTTTCCTGGACGTACACTGTACTAAAAACTCTGCATTGCAACATTGTTGATGTACAGAGACCATAAAGTCATAAGTGCAAGTCACTGACAATATATTAAACAGGACACAACACCTTTTAGGGCTGCATTTGGTTTTGTGAACTGTTGTTGTTGAATGTAACACATTTTACTCTTATCTAGGTGACAGTTCACACTCTGGCCGAGGCATTTCACCTGCCTCAGCAAGAGGCAATTGAAAAATTCATAAAGGGGCCAAAGTATGAACCATGGTAAGATTATTTAAATATTGATGGACATATTTCACTGTGCACTGCAAAATCTAATCTGTGATTGTTCTTTATGGACAGTGAGTTTAAAATGATTGCAAATGATCTGGTGAGGCATTTACCAGAGGAGGCAGCAGGGAGGCTGAAAGCTTTCCAAGAGAGATGGAGATTGGCGCTCTCCTCTGAAGCCTTTCTCTCACGATTATAATAAAAGACAATTTGTTGCAATATTTGTTTTGTGTTGAACTTATTCAGTGTATACATTTCAGAGCCATTCAGATAACACAAATTCATAAAAAAGCATGTACATAAAATGCCAGAAAACAATTTGTTCTTTTTGTTTAATCTCCCTCTTCTACATACAAATTTGACATAACACAATAGTAATGAATGTCTGCTTGTCCCAAAAGGCCAAAGTTGGGCACAAAAATGTTATGGCATGTTCTCTTTATGATCAGTAATGTGGAGACCATGGGTGTAGGAGTGTGTGGTGGTGGTGGTGGTGTAATAATATCTTTAACTTGTAATGTACTTTTCAATCCTGTGTTGACAAGTTTCTCAAAACGCCACACTAGTCTTTATTCATTTATTCCACACAGTGTGTCACAGCTGGGTTGGAGGATGCCAGGCTACTAATCTGTGCTATTGGCCACCACCAAGCAGTCTCTCACTATGTCCACACATGTGGGTGAAGTGCATTGCTCAAGAACATACCAGACTGCACTTGGGGCAGCCAGGATTTGAGCCACCAACCATAGGCCCCTTTTATAAATGAATGTACACATTAGACATAAGCACTGGCATTATTTGACTCATTCACTTTTGTCCTGAGCTGCTTCAAATCCCTATTGATTGATAGTCTGAAGTAATGGCAGCTTTTGTAGGCAAATTTACTACTTTGATATTTACAAAATTCGTCCATTTTCCCCCAATAAATAATATTGACAATGACATGCGCCATAAAATTCATTATTGCGCATAAATTCATTGGGCATAGATAGTACTCACTACTACTCATACCCGTATTATAATAGATCCATGCTCATACACGCGGAGTGGGCGTGTCGAGTAGTGACGTCACTACCCGACACGCCCACTACTCGACACGCCGCCGTACTGCAGGCCGCAGACAGATACACTTGAAAAAGTCTTAAAACTCTTAAATCGATCTAATCCCAAATTAAGACACATGTTTTGCCTAATTTCAGCATTTTTAGACTATTTTCTCATCACTTTTCACTCTATGTTCTGCTCTGGCCCTCACAGAACGCTCCGGGTCGAATCTCTCCGATCTGTGACATCATAGCTAGACCCCGCCCCCTTGTCAATCAGCACAAAACCACAAAAACAACCCAATATTATTAAAAAAATGACTTTATGCCAAGTGAGAATACGGACTTTGTGGACACATTCGTAACAGCGCAGCCGTACAGAGAACCGTCAATAATGATCTTTAGAAAGAAACACAATCCTAGAAGAAGAACAGAACCCAAGGATCCTGTCGCACAAACCCAACATGAGAACAAGGCTTTCCTGGTTATCAGCCAGAAAATGGAGTAAAAATATATATCAAAAACTCCCAGACATTTCCCTTTAATCTGCATCGTAGAGAGGTAGGAGGAGACTTTGTTTTAAAATGACGTATATTCAAAGTGGTAACCATGGAAACGGTGAGATCCTTCCATTCAGTCGTCAAAAAACAGCATATAAAAATATACAGCAATGCAGAGGTTTGAACCGGGCCACGCGGGAAAAGGTGAGATTATGAGCCTTTGAAAGTGAAAGTAAAAGTATAACACGGCTCAGTGCTTTTGTACCTGTGCTAAAAGTTTATTTCATACAATTTATACAAAATAAAAACTGAAATATTAAATGAGATTCGAACTGAACTCATTTGAAAC